GTGCCGTGTAGACCTCCCGTGCTTTATATTTATTAGATGCAATGGTCAAAAGAAACAGAGGCTTGTAAACCTCGGTGTGATTTGTGAAAAGCCTAGTGAGAGACGCTGAGGATGCCACAGCTGTGAAATGAGGATTTAATGCCTCAATTTTTTAAGATTGCTTTTAGAGCCACATAACAAATTAATAATAAAGTTAAGTAATATCCCAGGAAAAAAAAAGGGCAACAAACCTCGTGCCAGCAGCTGTACATGACTTTGTACACAGTATGTGATGCCAAATGTGGTCGATAAAGTCGGTTACCCTGAGAAATCTCACGGACAACTTCAGAATTTGACTTACTTTCAAAAGGCATTTTGCCTTCTGTGAAAACTTCCCACATTAGTACACCTAGAAGTGAACGAAAATATTTAGGACAAAACAAAAACCCCAAACCCACAAGTTATTTAACAACATTAGAAGCACAAAAACCACTCTTGATTTTTTGTGTATTGCATGAAAACATGGGCAACGTGAGCTGAATGAAGACAGACTACCAAAAACTTTTTCAACTGATAAAATTCTGCTCTTTTAAGTCAGCTAAGATGGTGGTCCATGAAACTGAGATGGATATACGTTTGGCTAATGGGGAAGTACCAAGAATGCACATTTCAGTCAAAATCTAATATTTAGGCACAGAGCCTTTCTATTAAAAAACATATTCATCCAACATAGGCAAGATTTGAAAAGTGGGAAGGACTCAAGCTTAAGAGAGGTAGTATCAATAAAAAGTTACACTTTCTTAAATCACATCAGTGGTTTTAGGGAAGCACAGTATATTGCACATTAACCTAATCAACTCACCAAATGACCAGACATCTGATTTGCTGCTATATTTTTTGAAATGAAAGACTTCAGGAGATGACCATTTGACTGGAAACTTGGCACCTGAAGAGCTGATATATTCGTCATCAATGACATATCTAAAGAATAACCAGAAACAGCATATATTCTAGTGATAGTTAAATGGCAAGCAGTTCTGGCAACATTTCCACAGGTGGTTTATAATTCCATAAAAATACAGTGTTGATTTAGAAACAAATAAAAGGTATCACTAATTTAATATAAAATGCAGACAGATACCCACACTGGAAGCTATGCACTTAAAAAGATTTCTGTTTAAATGAATGATTTGAATTGTTCATGAGAAGTATGTCATAATAAAACATTTTAATATGCTCTGTAAGACTGACAGGATGGTTGCTGTTGTCATCCTCTGGGTATATACTGATAGGAAAGATCCCTACGCCATAGGCAGGAAAACCAGCAGCAATAAATAATTATTGTCTCTTTTCGAAAGAGTCCGCCTTTTCAACTCCTTGTACCCAAACACTACTGGCAGAGGGCTACACTTCACAACTGATGGGTGGAATCCGATCTCACAGATGTTATTTCTGGCATGTTGTTACAGAAGCAACACAGAAAGAAATGGGCATCCCATAGAAGGCAACAGCTCTTGCAGGTGCACTGGAAAAGTAATTTTCTTCGCCCAAGCTTATAGGAGCTGACCTCCCAGATAAGATGAAATCATGTGCCCGATGCAGGCATTTATAGGGTAGCATTTTAAAAGGCTATTAGACTGATCCCTACCTACGTACAAGCTCTGTGCACATTTTCCCAGTATTAATGTTCCTGAGCAGACGACAGATGTGCATTACACAACATTTGTTCTCACGGAAGGCATAATGCAAAAGCACCTTCTAAAGCACCTTTTAAAGGAGGTCACATTAAAAGAAATCATCTGTTTGTCTCCCTTTCTTATTTTGGTGCAGGCACAGAAAGATTAGAGGTTATTGGATAAGGAACATATGAAATAACAGTACAAAATAACCAGTAGTGGCAGCTGTGTAAGCTCTGAATAGTAAGATTGTGATCCCATCACCTCTCCATGGTCTCCCCGGGAGAGGGAGTGCCCGTCCTAGAGCCACACCACTGGTCTCCACTTTTTGGCAGCAGTGAGCCATTCAGGTCCATTATCCTCAGACTGGACCCTGACAGCCCTTTGGTCTCTTGCTGTGTTTTCTGGTGCATTTGGATGAGCCCAGACCCCTGATACTGACCTTACCCTTTTGGGGAGCAGTGCAACCAGTGGGCACTGCCATAGTACAGGACAGCCTTTTGAAAAACAAGTATTTAGTTACGAACTGCTGGGGTGTTGTAATCCTTAGGTTAGAAATAGGAGGCAAAACCTAAGGGAGAGATAAGCAGCACGGCTGTGCTGATCTAATGACTTGCAGCCGCAAGGTGAATGTCACCACCACCTCCTGCTCAGAGCCACACACTACCTTTCAAGCTCGTCTGCCTCCAAAGTGAGCCCATTCAGTCTACTAATCCAGCAGATAAACCGGCCAGTAAAACACAGAAGTGGAGACCTTTGTGCTGGGCTTGCAAGGGGAAAGAAGGAAGGAGTGAGCCAACCCCTTTGGGCAGCGGTCGGTCATTTGGTCAGCTCAGCTGTAAAATGCAGCACATCCTCTGGGGGAAGTCTGTGAGGGCAGGGCTACGTTTCTCTGGCCTGTGCTTGTCAGAGTGCATTTTGCTCTCTTTCTCCATGCTTGGCTGGGCCTCTCATTAAGCAGAAAAACCACTTCCCTGCCAGAGCAGCGCACATCACACTTCCTGCCCATCCTGCCTCCTGCCTGACCTAATCGGCCGCTGCCGCCTCTAAAGGTCAGCACCAGCACCCGCATCTGTCCCTAGGGACTTTGTGTCCTCCCCGATGCTCAGAAAAGCTGGGGAACTTGTTCCTTCAAGCTTCTGGCAGCCCTGTGCACGCTGGGTGTTTCTCTCTCCGTGAACTACTTCTGAAGTTTACCAGGCACTTCGTTTACCTGTCTTACTCTTACCAATAGCAAGACGAGGATGCGACATCCAGTTCATGGTACAACAGTTAAACAACATTATAATTTCCATCAGAATTCAAAAGTTGACTGTAGTGGGATTCCCCAAATCAGCGAAGCAAGCAATGAGGTTAACACAACGTCATGCTGCAGCTCACTGAGAATAGGTACTCACTAAACCTGCATCAATGGCCTCGTACCTCGCCATGCCAAAGTCTGATACTTTAACGATGTGCTCAACGTTGACTAAACAGTTTCTTGCAGCCTGGGGAAAATGAGAGAAACATATTTGAAATCTGTGCTAAAGCATTTTAAGAAAAATACAACAGCTGATTATTTTTGTTTCAGCTCATACTGTAAAAGGACATGAGTGTCTTGCTCAAAAATATAAGTGAATTTCTGGCTCTGAGTCAGTGAACATATTTCGCTACTGTGTAGTTACACATCCATAGCACATATCAGCTTAAATGCTTGTAGTATGAGTTGCAATATTTTTACATATTCCTGCACGGTGAAAGAAATTTTAGGCTGCAGAGTCTAGTTATCCAAGCAGATATTTTCCTTAACGCTAGCATGAGGACATTCAATGTGAATTTTTAAAAATGTTTTGTGACTTTTTCTTTACAGAAATCAGGAACTCCTTGGAAATTTTCAAGCTTTTACATTTCTTCAGGCAATTAGGGAGAAGAGCAGGAAGATTTCCTCTCTGCATCCAGACGTGAGCATTGAACAAAAAGCAGAGAGTAAGGAAACAAGCTCCTCCTCTCCTGTGGTTCCCTGTTTATGAGGGGTAGGGCAGAAAAGCCACCCAGATATCCCAGCATCAAGGTAAGGCAGTAGGGAGCAGAAAAAATGTATATAGAAAAAGATTTTGTTAAAAAAAAAAAAATCCTCATTGTTGCTGACCTTTTGTATTGCTGTGATTTTGATTGTGTTGTGATCACTGCATGGATACCCTTGTACTGGGATGTCCTAGCACTGGCCTGCTCCATGCTAATATCCCAATTTTCTCTCAGTTATCAAGTAGTTTTTCCAGCTGTCCACAGACAAGAGAACAGCTGAAAAGTTTTGGTTTAGAGGCAGAAAAACACTATTGGCTTATTAGATCCTGCACGGCTGAAGTCTTACAGGACACATTAGCATCCCATAAAACACAGTGGCATGTTCTATACTGCCAATATTTACCAAGAACTTCAGAAAACCTATTGTACTTACTAAATCACGGTGAATAAAGCTATTTCTTTCCAGGTATTCCATCCCTTCGCACACATCCTGGCACATGCTCAGCAGCACGTCTCTGCTGAGTTTCCCTCGCCTTTGCCGAAGGTAATTGAGCAGGCAGCCGTTTTCCATGAATTCAGTCACAACATAGAGAGGCTTGTGGTGTGTGCACACTCCGTAAAGCTGGACCAGCTTCGGGTGGGAAAGTTTCCTGTTTAAAATTGCATTTTAGACAGGCTAGCATTTGTTCTTGGCTGGTAACTAGACCTTTGATTCTCATGATGGTTTTTAAAAATACTTTCATACTTATGAAATACTTGAATACTGATAAACAGTATTCAATTCAACTGGCCTCAGAGTTGTCCCATGATCTAACACATTTCTGCCTACATGGAATTCATAATTGTTCATCAGTTATATAAATGCAGTGAATGCAAAGCTCAATTTGGATGATGCAAAATGGAAAAGTCTAGTTATACCTGGCTTTCAGGCAGGGGACGTGACCCTGCAAGGGTGCTTCTCTTCTGCGCCGTGCCAAGACACGGTCTGGATACTTCCCTAATTTACAGAATTAGCAGAAATGGTAATATAGTTTCTCAAAAGCTTTAGTTAGGTATAAGCTCTGCCAGTAGTCCTAGAGGCACTATATTATAGATGAAAGAATATTTGTAGGAGCACATTTATTTATCAGCACATTTACTTCCCATTGAGCTCCACAGCACAAAGCACTCTGAAGAAAGAGTCTGTTGATGGGCGCAGTGAACATCTGTGTCAGTCCAATTCAGACCTTTATATCAGCCTTTCTGTCCTGCAAATCCACCATTCCCATCAAACTGGTTTGTCTGTTTGTTTTAAGTGGAATTAAGTTATATTTATTTCTTGGTCATCTCAATGTCAACTGTCAGATATAATAGCTTTTGTACTTACATCATCACTTTGGCCTCCTCGATGAAATCATCTTCAGACATTGCACCTTCATTGATTGTTTTGATGGCAACCTTGATGGTTGCTTTCCATTTACCCAGCTGAACGACTCCAAACTGCCCACGCCCAAGTTCTTTCATGAACGTCAATTCAGATGGGTTTAATTCCCACTCCTCTATAAAAGCAACGCAATATGTTACAACAGTCAGGTAAGCTTTCCTGAGCCATGCTCCAGGAGACATGCCTTGCTATTTGCAGTTAATGCGTGCAGCAAAACATCATGATTGTTCATGAGCTATAGCATGAATTTTAAATATCTGAAAATTTCCACATGCTCATATAAGTTTATATGTGAATGTTATTTTACTGCTTGTAGAATGTGATTAGTGTTTAAATTGCTTAATGCAGGAGTGTCTAAGGCTTGAAGATAACACAAGTATTTAGCTTTGATTACATTATGAGAACTTTTTTGGCATTATGATATGTGATGTTGAACTCTGAACCAGTTACAGATGGATAGTATTGCTACAGAAATAGTTACTGGCTGCCTCTATTGTAATAAACACAATAATTCTGCCCTTCAGAAATATTAAGCCTTGAGATTAATGGGAACATACCCAGGAGAGATACACAATTTTGGAGGTTCCTGTCATCAGCCAGATGATATGAGCTTCCTGATCTATATACACAAAACTGGCATTTATTGCTTTTTTTCCAATATTGTATAAGATTTCATTCTTATTTCTAAAACTTGCGGAACCAACAAGGAAAATCTTCCCCATAAATAATATTCATTTCAATTTCCTAAGCATTTCAATAAATCAAATAGCCTTTGAAAAGCTATTAAATTAAATACAGGCTGGATCGATGGGCTGAGGCC